ATAGGATGTCGCTTGGTGGTGAGCCTGGGAGGGGGTTGGGGGCACAGAGGTGGCCTGAGGGAGTTAGTGAGGCCCAGCAGAGAGCACACCAGGCTGGGGACACAGCCATGCAAAGGTCCTGCGGTGAGAGCATGCCTGGAATGTTGGAGGGGAGTGGGAGCGGCAGGGACCTTAGTGCTCTGGGGCTGGTCTCTGCAGCTGGATTGAGGCCCAGCTTGCCTGAAGCTGCAGAAGGCTGGAGGCACCATTCCCATTCATGCCCCATTGCCCTTCCGTTGTGAGGGCCCAGGACAGGGTCCACCCCCCTCCCCAGGTTAATAGGCAACAGGTTTTCTCCTCTGGGCCTGTGGCCTGCTCTGATCTCAGTCTCCACCATGGGGGTGATGCCTCTCTGCCTTGAACCTTCTAGAAAGCCCATGCCTGGCTCATGTGCTGTTTGTCTCACCAGTGACAGCAGTGGTCACCTGACTGAGTGCTCAGGGTCTCAGAGGAAGAGAATTCCTCCCCGATGAGGGGAGAAGATCAGGAAGGCTTCCTGGAAGAGGCAGCTGCACTTGACCGAGCTTGGAGGTGGAGGAGGGACAGGGGAAGGCAGGAGCTCGTAAAGGGTGAGGGACAAACAGCTGAGAGGTTGAGGCTCACGCAGGATGATTTGGAGGGAGGAAGGTTCTGGGAGCCAGCAGTGACATTGGGGACCCCCCCATTCCAGCCACCCCAATGGAGGGAGGGCCGCAGGGCTCCCTCCCTTACCCCCACCTCGGTGAGGCTCTGCTCCCCTTCCCTGCCCCCATGGCGAAGGCCAAGGCCAAAGCTATAGTCAGCTGTTTCCTTTGAGTTAGCACAGGAATGTTGCCGGCGTTGGGCTCAGTGCCGGCCTGGGCCAGGACCCCTCATGCCGCTGGGGCTGCCTGGCATGAACTCTGGAAGGACAGGCTTGGCCCCACACGCACCCGCCTCCCGCCTCAGACCCAGCTCATCCTGTCCGCTGGGTGACCTTGGGCAGGTTGTGTAACCTCTCTGGTGCCTTTAAAAAATAAATGCGTCCCAAGGCCGAGGCCTCTGCAGGGCCCGTTTGGGTTTGGGCCTCATTAGCTCATCTCCTGGAGCCAGGATTATCTCATACGCTCTCAGCCCACACCCTCGCCAGTCCTGAGCCGCCCACATTGGGGCTCGAGCCCAGAATTTGCTCCAAGCACTGTAAAAATAATCAGGCAAGGACAGGAGTGTGTGTGTGCTGAGGGTGGGCCTCCTGGAGGAGGGCGTGTCCCGTTGCCCGATAGCCAGCCCAGCCTCAGGGACAGGGGTGACTTGCCCTGGGTCACACAGCCGGGGAGGACAACTGCCACACCTCTCTAAACCCGACCCAGGCATTTCAGCCAAAGCTCAGCTTCTCTGCCCAGCGTGTCTTGTGATCTGGCCTCTGGTTCTTTCACTGAGCCCTGGCGAGCGTCTCAGCCATCCACTGAGAACCTCGCCACCACCACCTCGGTCGCCTGGCCAGACCTCAGGGAGACCCTGTGCTCTGTGAGCGCCGTGCGCACACTCCGCGCACTCGGGAGCCCACCTGGCTGGCCTCAGGTCCCAGCGTCACCATCTAGCAGCTTCAGTTCCTCCATTGATAAAACAATCATCCCACCTGCCTCGCAGGACCATCAGGAGGGTGCTTAGCAAGTGTCCTTTACACACTCAGCTCCTTCCAAGCCTCAGTTTCCCTTCCTGGAAAACGGGACTGGGACTGCCTGGGGAAGGCGGCTAGCGCTGCGCTGAGGTGTTCTTACTTTATTGCTGTTTAATTGGGATTCTATGGTCGTACTTTGTTTTAATTTGTGGATTTATGATGCTGAGCATTATCTTGGCTTGACTTTAGCTACCTGGCACCAGGGGCAGGTCCAGTACCCTCCTGGGTAGAATCCCCTCCCTGTGTTGGCGCCCCTGACACCAGAACGGGAAGCATCCCCAGGCGCGGGGGGAGGGTCGACCCCCATTACCTCTCTGCATCCCACCCTCTCTGGCAGCCCCTGAGGCCCAGGGCAGGAAACCCTTAGCTCCCCCCCCCCCCAGCGCCTGGCTGGGGGCGGGAGATGCTCTGCGCCGGCCCAACCCCCCTGCATGCCGGCCTCCACGTTGCCATGGGGACAGTGCGGTTGCCAGGGCGACCGCCTCCCGCGGGCCCCACGGGGAGGGGGGGTGGCGCCTGGGGCGGGGCCGCTTTGGCGCCCTCAGGCATGGGGAGGGGCGCGTGAGGGGGGCACACAGCCTGTGCCCTTCGGGCTGGGACAGGGACGTTGATGGGAGGGATGGAAATTCTCTTCCTGGGCCTCGTGCGCCTCTTCTCACTGTGCCTGACCTTCCCCTGACCTGGTTCAGCCGGCAGGGACACCCCGCCTGAGTGAGGACACTGCCCGCCTTGTTGTCTGCAGCCCGGCAGGCTGGCCTCAGAGCTGTCCCTGTGTCCTTATGTCCGGCCTGAATGGCCACCTGCCTGCTGGGGATCCAGCATTAGGCAGCTGGTTCTGCCCAGCATGGCCTGTGTGCAGGGGGTCTCCGCAGCTGTATGCCCCTCCCCCAGCTCTGCCTCCGTCCTGGTGGGTCCGTGGAGGCCACGTGACAGCCGGAAAAGGGTAGGCATGTGCTGTGGCCCAGAGCTGGGCGGTTCTAGTCCCAGCTCTGCCACCTCCCAGCTGTGTGACTGTGGACAAGTGACTTGCCCTCTCTGGGCTTCACTTTCCAGTCAAGGGAAGAGCATACCAGGGAGAAGGAACGGTAAGTGCAACGATTCTAAGGAAGGAACGAGCTTGGTGCAGTTGAGGTACAGCTAGAAGGTCCTGGCGGCTGGAACAGAGTCAGCAAGTGGGAGAACAGAGGAGGTGAGGGCAGAGAAGTGGATAGGGTTGAGCTACGCTAGAATTTCTTTCAAGGGGTGATGGGAGCTAGGGAGACTTAAGAGCAGGAGAATGAGTGGTTCTGATTCTTGTTTTGAGAACTTGCCTCTGGTTGTGGGGTGGGGAGTGGATTGTCGGGGGCCAGGGAGGTAGCAGGCTATGGTAGAGGACCGGGATGGGAAACATGAGGTTTGCAAAAAGTAGAGGGTGGGCCTAGGTAGGGAACACTGGGGGTGTCACCTTGCCTGGATCACACAGGGCCGTGTAGCAGACTCAAAAATGTAGCTGATCAGGCCCTTCAGGAAGGGCTTCCAAGCTGGATTGCTGGATCAAGCCTTTACTGAATGCCACCTAGCTGAACCCAGCCCCCCTGAGGCAGGAGAGAGGGAAGCCACAGAGGGTGCAGCCGGGGCTGCTGGGTTCCTGAGAGGCCCAAAGAGGGCAGGTGCTACCCGCCAGGAAGGGAAGAGCTGGGTGGGGTCACCTGGCTGGGGCGTGAGAGCCAGATGATTTCATGGGTCTCAGCGAGGCCAGGAAACTGAACCTGAGTGGAGTGGGGGGTGGGGCATTGCAGGTCATGATGGATCTGCACTGGGAGCGGCCACCTGGGTTGGGGGGAGGGCTTGGGCTCAGGGGTGGGCCCAGCACACTGTGTGACTTTGGGCTTCTGTTTCCTTTCTGAATCACAGGGGGAGGGGGCACAGAACAGGAGCTGGGGTGTCTGTTCCTGCTCTTTGTGCAAATGGGGAACCAAGGACCAGAAGGGGTAGAGGGTCTTTGGAGGCCACAGGATGGCTCCTGGTCCCGATCCAGGGCTGAGGGCTGGGGGGGGTGGGGGGTGCAGCAGAACCAAAGGATGGTCTGTAATCTCAGTCCCTGTGAGGATAAGGGGCTTGGGGTGGATAAGGGGACTTCAGGGGGTCCGGTTCCCACTGCTCAGAGCCCCCCCTTGTGCCCACCAGTCCCTGCCCCCAGGAGTACTGTCGAGGCCCCCCAGAGTGGCCCTGGGATCATTCAGGATTTGGACCAAGAACAGGGAGGTCCAGATGGGAGCTCAAGACCCCACCTCCTCTTCAGGCCTTGCCTTGTCACCAAGGCCCTGGGGGTGAGAGGTTATCATCAGGCCGGTTGCACGCAGTCACTCAGGGCTTCATGGGTCCAGAAGCCCGGTGTGCACCTACTGTGTGCAGCTTCTGGAGACCCTGTGAGAGACCATGGAAGGGAGCGGCCAGGTCTGAAATCTCCTCCCTGACCTGCCATGTGGGTAGAGGGGTTCAGGGGAGCAGAGGGGAGGGGAAGGGCAGGAAGGATTCACCCTCCGGGTCCTGGGCCTCCTGCCTGCCCCACAGAGTCCGTCCCTTCAGTTGCATCTGGCAACACTGACATTTATCAACTCCACGCCGGTTTAAGGCGAAAACCACACTGCGTGGCTTTCAGAAAGCATGCAGTGGACAGGAAAGGGAGTCAGGGGCCGAATTTGGGTTTGCCTCTTCTTTGCTGTGTGTGCTTGGGAGACTCAGAGCGCCTTCTGGGCCTTTGGGGTCCTGGGAGAGTCCAGGGGAAGCAGATTCTCGAGAGAGGACGTCCCAGGGTAGCACTGTCAACTTTGCAAGCCCAAGGGCTGGAAGGTGGGGCTGGTGGGTCCTGAGTCCTGCACGTGTCCCTCCCAGGGCTGGACAAGAGGGGCTTGGCGGTCGGAGGGTGAAGAGGGGGCTGTCCCGATCTCTCCGCATCTTCCTGAAATGCTCGTCTCTGGCCTTTGATTGCTGATGAACTCCTCTGCCTCCTCCACGGCCCGGCTCAGCGTCTCGCCTCCCCAAACCCTTCCTGCATCTCTGGGCAGAGCCTCCCCCTCCTGTCCTTCGGCCCTGTTCCCCGGGGGGGCCGCAGGAGGGTTTGCTGGGAGAATTCATGAGGTCATGAGGTCATAAGACCTGGTAGAGAGAACAGTGCTGCCTCTGAGGGGGGCAGGGAGGGACCCCACTTTACAGAAGGGAAATGGGGATGCTGCTTGTGGCAGCCGGCGGCTGGAAGACACAGGCTGGGATCCGAACCAGATCTGTGGAGAGCAGGGTGGGGTGGATCCGCACCTTGACCTTGTGCGTCCCCTCCCCCCAGGGTCCTGGTGGCAGAGACCACGTCTCAGCAGGAGCGGCTCCAGGCCATTGCAGTGAGTTCCCTGCCCCTCCAACAGTGTGGACGGGGGTCGGGCTCCCCACACCCGGCCCAGGGCCCTTGGGGCTCAGAGCCAGGGTGTGACAAGGTGCTTCCCCACAAAGTGAAAGTGAAGAGACCCCCGCTGTCCTCCGAATGTGTCTCTTACACCACTAGCTCAGGAAGACCCTCTGTGCAGGGGTGGGGGGATGCAGGCTGGGGGCAGGTGGGGGGGCAGGTGAGGGGCAGGGGGGCGGGGGTAGGGGAGTCCGGTGGGCCAAGTGGGTGCCATTCACAGAAAAGCAGGGTGCACGTGGGCAGAGCCTCGGTGGTTTGGTGGGGTCTGCGAGGCCCCTAGCCTCGTCCTCACGGTCGTGTGTGTCCCTGTCGTCAGGAGAAGCGGAAGCGGCAGGCTGAGGTTGAGACCAAGCGTCGGCAGCTGGAGGACGACCGTCGGCAGCTGCAGCACCTGAAGGTCCAGAGCGGGCGGCCGCGTGGCCCCTCACAGAGCCGGCCTGGCATGGGGGGGGCGGGGGGGCGGCAGTGCCCTAGGGGCGGACCCTGACCCTGATCCTGACCTCGAGGCCTGTCACCCCCAGTCCAAGGCCTTGCGGGAACGCTGGCTGCTGGAGGGGACGCCGTCCTCTGCTTCGGAGGGAGATGAGGACATGCGGAGACAGATGCAGGAGGATGAGCAGAAGGCGCGCTTCCTGGAGGAGTCCATCTCCAGGTGGGTGGGGTGGGCGGTGCAGGCACCTGCAGAGTCTGGGGGAGCGTGGGGGGGGGCCCACCCTTGGGCTGGGATAGGGTTTGGCCCCTTGCTCGGAGGGCCGGTGGGGGCAGGGAAGAGCCCCATTCACATGCTTCAATGGGGCTGTAGGTGGGCCATGAGCATCTAAGCTAGGCTTGAGGGGGCAGAGGGCTGCCTGGTGGGACCCCTTTCTTCTTCCAAACACCCAGCAGAGCAGGTGTGTGGGGGCAGGTCTGTGAGCCCAGGAGGATGGGAGTGGCCGGCAGCGGCCTCCCTGGGGCCTTCCTGGCGCCAGTCCAGTTGGTGAGTCTTCCCTGGCTTGGTTCTAGTGCAGGCTACAGACGCCCAGGCAGCTGGGCCTGCAGGAAGCCCAGGGAGGGGGGCAGGCCCAGGGAAAGTGACTGCCCCCCCGCCCCCCCTGCCCCCGGGGCTGGGACAAAAGGCCTGGAGTTTCCGGGCAGGCAGAGGCCCAGGCTCAGCCCAAGGGCAGCAGGGTCAGGGTGGAGGGAAGTGACGGTCAAAATTCCAAATGTCCACTTGGTCAAGGAAGGCCTGAGAGGCCTGGGGCCTGCCCGGGCCCCACAGCACGCTGGCCCACCGCCCAGCTGGATGCGAGACACACCCACTGGGAAGACCTGGGGATCCTGCCCTGATGTGTTTGGTTTGGAAGAAGGTGGGGCAGGTGTTAGCTGGGACTTTCTTTCCTGGGCCTGTTTCCCTACCGTGAACTGTTAGCCCGGGCCAGAGCGGGGGGCTCAGACGGAGGTGGGACTCAGACGGGGCTGCACAGAGATGGCCAGGACCGCCAGCAGGACAGGAAGTTGGTGGAGATGATTGGCCACCAGGGGCTGGACAAGGCGAGCTTCTTTTCGTCCCGTCCTGCTAGGTGTAACCCTGGGTGAGGGGCACACGCGCAAAACAGGCGCCTCGATGGTGGAGGGGCCCTCCCTCGAGCCCCACCATGTATCTGGCACACATCCAGTGCTTTGGGGGCCTTGGCTTTCTTCCTCCCAGGGCAACCCGCTCCTCAGGTGCCCCTGCCTGGACACCTCCTCCAGGAAGCCCTGCAGGCCGACCCTAACTGTGGCCAGTGTCGGCTCACTTCCTTAGGGGCCTCAGACTCGCCCCCAAAGCCTCCGGCGGGTGCTCGCTGGGACAGGACTTAAGATCTTGGTTTTGTTCCCACTGGGTTGTGGGCACCATTATCTTCTTGTACTTGGAAGGTGACATGGTTTTTCCAGTTTCCCCAGAGAGGTAAAGCTTCCGGTAAAAATAAATGCATCTGAGCGGAAAACAGGAGAGTTGGTTGGAAACCAGCAGAGAAGTAAACCGTAGCAGTGGGGGTGCCTATGGACGGGCCAGCCTGGGGCCACACCCAGCTCTGCTGCTTGCTGGCCCTGTGTGGTCGCTGCTCTGTGCCTCAGTTTCCCCCGTTGCGAGGGGGGAGGATGAGACTACCTCACAGGGTGGGGGGTGACCTGGCGTCAAGGAGCCTGGAGCGCTGCCGGGGCCCAGAAGTGCCCAATAAGGGCAGTGGCTTCCTGTGCCCTCCCCAGGCTGCAGAAGGAGATTGAGGTGCTGGAGGACGCGGGCCCGCTCACCGCCGCTGCTGCCGGGGAGAGACCCGCCGCCCCGAGCCCGGCCAAGGACCAGAAGGCAGAGGTGGTGTTGGATTCTCAGCAGGTGAGGGGGTGATGAGGTTCCCGGGGCGCCCGCCCCTCCCCCACCCTGGCCCCAGGGCAAGACCCCCCTTCGGTGTCACTGTGGCTCAGACCTTGGGGCAGGGGCCCCTGGGGTGTCGTGAAGACCAGCATCCCAGCTGTGTGTCCAAGCCCCGTTCAGCTGCTCCTCTCATAGCCCTGGTCCTGCTCTCACTGTCTGCCAAGGCCTGGTTCGGGACGGACGGGGGCAATGTGGGCTGGGCCCTAGCCTCACTGAGTCATGTCAGCTGAGCAGAGGGACATGTATCAGGCGACCAGAAACACGGGGAGGATGGCCGGCCTGGGATGCGTAAGCCTGGGGCACTGCGGAGTTCCCGAAGAGGCGTCTGATGCATGGGAGCACTGGGCCGACTTCCTGGAGGAGGTGGACTTTGAAAATTGAAGAGGAGTTCTCTGGGCACAGACTGGAGATGAGAGGGGGCTTCCACTGAGGTTGACCGACCACAGACTGTGTGGTCCCTGTCCTCGCGATGCCCACGTCCTGAAGGAGACAGAGACAGTATCTCGAAGGACAGCGACATGATGTGGGGGATCTTTGGGTTATGGTCGGGGAGCTGAGTGAGGAGCCAGCCAAGCAGAAATCCACGGTGCAGGGGACATCACACACAAAGGCCCTGGGGCAGGAATGTGTTCAAGGACCCGTGAGTCTGGCCAGAGATGGGGGGTGGGGGAGGAAGGAGAGGCCTATAGGCAGGGGTCTGCGGACACAGGCCCTGGGGGTCATCTAGAAGGGTTTTGGCTTTGTCTGGGGAGCACTAGGGAGCCATGGGAAGCTTCTGAGCAGGGCAGGGACTTTACCTGGCTGTCACAGGCTAGGGCAGGGGTGGGGGATCCCTTCAGGAGACAGCACCTGCGATGGGGCCTCCAGGTGCGAAGCCAAGCCCTCCCCCCACTGCTCCGCCCACAGGTGGGGACCTTGGTTAGCGGGAAGGGGGCGCCAGCATGCCTGACCTCTCTCCCTTCTTTCTTGCAGGCCCCGGTGGGCACGCCCAAAGGTAGGCTTCTCAGAGGGAGGGGCGGGGCCTTAGTGCCCTCTTGTGGCCAGAGTGGGGTGGTGGGCCTGGGGAGGGTACCTACAAACTGAGAGCTCTTGTTGCTAATACTGTTACTTCTCACGGAGCCTGTCCCAGCGCCCCTCATCATCACTTCCCTGAGTTATGATGACATCCCTGGGGTGGAGTTGTTACAGGTGAGGAATCTGAGGCTCTGGGGGGACGTGTCTGCCTGGGGTCTCAGCCTCTGGGGCCTTCCCATGTCCACATTGGGGTGCCAGTCTTGGCCAGCCCCACCTCTGCTCCACGTCCACCTGCTCTGAGCTGCTGTGCAGCTGGGCAGGCCTCGATTTTCATGTCTATAAAATGGGGTCTATGGGGCCAAGAAATCAAGGTCTCAGCAGTCCTGGGAAGGGGGCAATATTTAAAAGCACAAGGGTCCCCCCCCGCCCCCACACACAGATGTGGAAAAGACAGCTATGCAGGGAACAAAGAAAAGGAGCCAAAAGTTTGAAGTCTGGGACCCATTTTTCCCCTTCCTCAGCAATTATTACGGATAGATAATACGCATTTGCAGATATCTCACAAACATGTAGGACATTTAAATATATTTAATTATAAATGTAATAGCTTATAAATAAAGTATTAAGTATATTAAAATTATTTAATGTAAGTTATATTTTTAAAACATGTATCAAACTCATCTATTTTGACATCTAAAGCATGGAAGGAAAGCCACCAGCCAGGACTGGAGATGGTAGTCAGATTGTCTTTGGCCTGATTTGTTGTGTGTTAATTATTTAGGCGAGTGTCTTACTGTGGAATTAAAAATTAATAATTTAAAAAAATTTCACAGAGGCCTCTCGGGGATTTTGTGAAAATCATTTGGGCTGAGAGATGGAAATGGACTGGGGACTGGTGTGTGTTTGGGGCTTCTGGGTATGCACACGTGTGGGGGGGTCCAGGTGCACGTGTGCACCAGGGGAGGGTCCAGGTGTCTGGGAGTGTCTAGGTGTCTGGGGGGGTGTCTGATGGGTATGTAGGGGCATCTGGGGGTGTCTGGTGGGTGTCCAGGTGTCTGGGGGTCTGTGTGATCTTCTCTCTTCTGACCCCCATCTCTCTTCACCCTTCACTCACTGAACAGAGAAACGAGTCTCCAACACCCCCGTGAGGACGGTCGAAGGCTCCACCATGATGAAGGCAGGTGGGTCAGCCCTCAGCCTCATCCCCTGTGTCCACCTGCTGTCCTGGGCTAAGCATTGGTCCTGGGGAGCCTGGAGAGGCGGGGCTAGGTCAGACGCAGACATGCCCTCAGCAGGAGCTGTGGTCATGGGGGTGGCAGCTGGACCGAGGCCCCCTCTGCTTTGGCACCTTGGTCACATGCTGGCCCAGCTTCCCTGGGAAGACGGGCCCCCTCGCATGGCAGCCCTCTAACCCACACCCCTCATGGCATCCCCCCTCACCTTGCTGCTCACTCCTGGGGCCCGGCGGGGCCGCACACCTGCTCGCACACGCCCGCACACGCCCACGGCAGATCCTCCGTCCTCTGCTGTCCTCAGGCTGCCTCAGGATAGGGAGTGAGCGCCCTGTTCCTGGAGGTGACCAGGCTGGGACTCAGGCATTTCTGTGCTTCTGGGAAGCCGAGAGAGACAGGGTTAGCTCTAAGCATTCCAGAGTTGGGGTTCAGATCCCTGCTTGGCCACAAGACAAGGGCTCCTCGTCTCCACCTGCTGGAGCAGTGCCTACGCCTGGCATTAACCTGAGAGAAGTGACCGGTAATCACAACGGGCAGAACCTGACTGCTGCTACCGGTATTGGGGTGAGTTGTGGAGGCACAAAACCGAGGGAGGTGAAGACCATCTTGGGGCAGGGTGGCCAGGACACCCGGACAGAGAAGGTGGCAGGGGAGGCCCAGGGTCCCATGCAGGGGCAGGCCGTTCTGCCAGGAGGCAGGAGACAGAGGGTAGCATCTGCCCGAGAAGGGGGTGTTTTCGGGGCCTCTGTGCCAGTTGGGGCAGCCCCGCCCTGTCCCTCAGCCAGCGGCCTTCTGTAGTGCGCAACCCGCCCAACTGTATGTCTGGAGGTGAGGGTGTTAGGTTGTACAGGGACATGGAGTTAAATAGCATTCATTCAGTCAGTCATGTGACAAGCGCTTATTGAGCACCTGCTGTATGCAAGGTGAGGGCCACAGTCTGGGGGAGTGAAGGTCCTGATAAGGACAATGCCCCATGCAGTTAACTTGTGGAGAAAATAGGGCAGCGTGCAGAGCTGGAGGGGGGGGGGCAGTTGAATCAGAGGGCTCAGGGGAGGTCAAACTTAGCAGGTGACGTTTGAGCAAGGACCCAAAAGAAGTGAGGGAGCAAGGCACAGGGGGATATGTGTTCCAGGTGGAGGGCACAGCATGTCCAAAGGTCCTGGCCTGGACCGTGCCTGCCTTGTTGGAGGACCAACCCGGAGTCCTGTGTTGATTGGAGCAGAATGAGTGAGGGGGGAGAGGGAGGAGGTGAGCTCAGGGAGATGACAGGAGGACTTTACCCCCAGGCACCTGGGGGCCCTGGAGGCCTGCGGGCAGAGCGGGGACGAGCCCGACTGGGTGCTCGCCGGCGCCCTCTGGTGGCAGCGGGGATAACAGATTGTGGGTGGCACTGGGGGGGCGGGGGATTGCACTGGTCCGGGAGGGGTCGGGGAGGGGGAAGGTGGCCTGGGCGGGGGCCCCAGAGGGGGCGAGATGTGGGCGGGTTCCAGGTGTCCCCAAGGCAGAACCCACAGCCTCTGCAGATGGACAGACATGGGGGGTGAGAGAGAAAGGGAGGAGGGAATTGCCTTGACGGGGGTGGGAAGACCCAGGAGGGGCAGCTTACAGGAGCAGATTGGGAGCGAGGCTTGGACGTGGTGATTCAGGGGCTCCCAGGGGACCCCAGGGGCAGGCGTGGAGGTGAGGGTGGGATCCTGGAATTCAGGGTGAGGTCCTGGGGGCTGTGGTCAGTGCCCCGGGGGGTCACTGCTAGGACCCATTGTCTTCGTGTGATCTTGGTGGTGATGATTTCTATGGAGTGGTGGCAGGACCGAACCATCCTGATGGATAATGACGCTCAGTTATTTCAAGAGGGCGTTATGCATTCTTCGTAGTGAAAGAGATGAGGATCAGGTCACTAGTTGAATGAAAAAAGGCGCGAAGCACAGATACACAGGCATGCCGATCACTGGGTGGCCGGGGAGGGGCTGAGACCCAGCTGGGAATACGTGCCTGCTGACCCAGGTTCACACTTGGCTGTGACCGTGGTCAAGGCATGCCTCCCTCCGACTTACTCTGCGGCTCTGAGGAAACGGGAACGGTTTAAGGCTTTCCAGATGGGGTGGGATCGCAAGCATGGGCCTCGAATGCCGAGCAAAGGAACTCAGGCCGATGCCCGTGGCTCTGGAAAGCTGTGGCGGGATGTGGAGCTGGGGGTGCCGTGGGAAGGGCGTCCCCACTGCTTGGCTCTGCGCTGCCGGCTCCCCTTCCCTGGCTTGGCTGCAGCCGGCGGGGGGCACGTGGGCAGGCGGCCTCGGGTAACCCGTGCTTCTCGTGCCAGCCATGTACTCGGTCGAGATCACGGTGGAGAAGGACAAGGTGACTGGGGAGACCCGGGTGCTGTCCAGCACCACCGTGCTCCCTCGGGAGCCGCTCCCTCAGGGCATCAAGGTCTACGAAGACGAGACCAAAGGTATGCAGCCCCCACCCCCACCCCAGACCCTCCACCCCACCCCCCTCCCACAGCCTGAGCTAGAGCCTGACCTCCAGCCTGATCTGGCATGGACGCTGTTCAGGACAGGGTCTCACACCCACAACCCACCGTTGGCTCAGAGGCAGTTCCGAGCTGGACCTGCAGCTCCATCTTTCGTTCACTCCAGGAACCCGCCCTGAACCTCAGCTGCGCGCCAGGTCCTGGGCGAGGCTCTGGGACTCGAATCAGAGTGGGACTTAGGTCTGTCCTAGGAGAGACTTTCAGCCTGGAGCTCAGGAGTAATTTAAATAAGTATTGTTGTGATAAAAGTGACAAAATCCCCAGAGATGCAGAGGGGGCCTTGAGAGGTTCTGGCAGGGCCGGGAGGGGGCCGGGGAGGCTCCTCAGGGGAAGTGAGCAGGAGCTCACGGAATGCACAACAGTGCGCAAGGAAACATTGTGTTTCACAGAGGCCATAGCATGTGCAAAGGCCCTGCAGTGGGATGGAGTTTGCTGGGCTGGAGGAACTGAAGGGAGCCTGTGGGACTGAGGTGGGGTGGAAGGAAGGGCCAGGTGAAGCCTTGGAGGGAGGGGTGAGCAGGGGCCATGGTGCTGAGATCTGGTTTGGTTTTTGGGGTTCCCTCTGGCAGCTGGGAGGGGAGCAGGGTATGAGAGACACCCACAAGGAAACCTGACTGGGAGGAGCAGGGCAACCTTAGTCAAAAGCCCCAACATGTCTGTCTCTCTCTCTCTCTATATATATAATTCACACACATAAAATTCATTCTTTTTTATTTTTAGGTAAGAAAAACTTTCATTTAAACTGCATTATCCGTCAGTATTTAGACAGCAATTTTATAAGTAGTTTGGCATTTAAACTTTGGTCATTTTTTTTTTAAGATTTTATCTATTCATGAGAGACAGAGGCAGAGGGAGAAGCAGGCTCCCAAGGAGCAGGGTGCCCAATGCGGGACTTGATCCCAGGACCCTGGGATCATGACCCGAGCCAAAGGCAGATGCTCAACCATCTGAGCCACCCAGGAGCCCAAACTTTGGTCATTTTTGGCATGGCCTGTAAGGATAGTTTATAAACAAACCCAGGGAGGGGAAGTTCCAGGCAGTATTTACTACGATGGCAGAAGAAGGAGACAAACCCACTTAGTAAACAAAATATGTTTTAAGAAGACATTAAAAAGGTATATTCAAAATTAAGGCAAACATTTGCTTTCTTCATGCAGTGGAACTCATGGAGCTGATCACCCAAGCCAAGTATAAAATTATAGTGCCCAGCTCCAGAATCCATTAGCAAGTCCACAAGTGCTCTTTACAAGAAAATGATATACAGAGTAGAAGGGTCCAGAACACACACAATTCAGCATACTGTTCAGTGGGTTTTGGTTTATTCAACATGTTGTACACTCTCACTAATTCCAGAACATTTTTCTTCCCCAAATAGAGACACTATCACCCCCTATCCCCACCATGGCATCCACTAACCCCCTTCCTGCCTGTGGATGCACCTTTTCTGGACCTGTCACACATGTGGAATCACACACCATGTGGCCTTCTGTGTCTGGTTCCCTCCCTGAACATCGTGGGCTCAGGCTCCATCCACTTTCATATTTTATGGCCAAATAATATTGCATTGTTTGGATGGATCACATTTTGTTTATTCATTCATCAGTTGATGGATGTCTGGGATATTTCCACCTTTTGGTTTTAGAATGCTATACAAGTTTTTATATGGGCATATGTTTTCATTTCTCTTGGGTGATAACTAGGCATGGAATTTCTGGGTCATATGGGGATTCTGTGTTTAACCTTTTGAGGAACTGCCAGGGTGCTTTCTGCAGCAACGGCCCCACTCCCCTTCCCACCAGCCGTGTGTGAGGGTCCCCATCTCCCTACATCTTCAGCAACACTTATTACCATCTTTAAGTTATTATCACTATAGCCATCGTGGTGGTCGTGAAATGGTAACTCACTGTGGTTTTGGTTCCCAAAGCCTCGTGTTCTTAGAGGCTGCTGGGGTCTCTGCGGCATCCAGGATGCTTTGAAGGGGGCCTAGTCTCAGCCCAGCTCTGCCATGGTTTGGGGACATAGACTTGGAAGGAACCCCGGTTCCAGCTCTCACCAGCTGTGTGACCCTGGGCAAGTCCCAGCTGCCTCGTCTCCTGGACAAGAATGACCTGATGGGGCTAAGGGCAGAGGATTCAGCCACTCAGTGCAGCCTGGCCCAGCCCTGGGGGATTCTGGACCCGCCAGACTGGACTCTGGTTGCTTAGCAATGGGAAGGTGATCCGTTTCCATGGTGGCCAAGGGCTTGGATTCCTGTTCTGGGGCAGTGGCCAGGGGGAAATACTCTGCTTGATTCTGCGTAACCTGGGCACACCCCACCCTCCAGGCCCTCCAGCCCAGAGTTGCTGCAAAGCCTTGAGGTATGGTCACCCCTCCCCAGGGGTTTGGAAACTGAAAGTAGAAAGCACTTTTCTTCTGGCCAGCAGCCAGGAACTGACCCTTGGTCCAGGAGGAGGCAAGTCCCGAGGGTGCCAGCGTGTCCCTCCCTCACGCAGCGGGGCAGCCTCGTTTCTAGGAGTTTGCTGGGCTGGCATCAGAGTGTGGCCAGGACTCCTGCCTGTGCTAAAACCCAGCCCTCAGAACACGACAGATCAGACAGGCACCCATGGGGCAGCTGGAGAGATTTGGAAAAGACATTGAACAAGATTCCTTGCACACACAGAACTGCCTAGGGGAGAACGGGCCTTCCTTTCAAACACAGGGAGGGCCTTTTCAGAAAGTGACCGTGCCCGGGGTCACAGAGGCAGTCGTAAGGAACGTTACGAAGTTTATATCTTATGCCCTGTGTTCTTGGTCCCCTTCTCCCCCAAATTTAAAAACACCCTTCTCGGTGAACCTTGGCTTCAAGAGACAGTCCATCAACGTGGAAATCACAAACTACTCAGATGTGAAAGAGAATGCCATCACTGGGTCCAGGGATGCAGTAGAGCAGGGCTGAGACGAGCCTGCGGTGTGTTTCCTAGAGAACAGGAGATCGAGTGACCCAGCTAAACCCCGGGCACCCAAGGAAGGAAGCCGTCACAATCCCCGAAACTCCTCGTGGGAGGGAGACACACGTAGCCCGGGAGACAGAGCAGGGTCCCGCCCTGGCCAGCTGGGTGACCGAGGGCTGGCCACATCTGTTCCCTGAGCTGCACCATCTTCACAGTGGGAGAAGCAGATTTACTTTGCTGTGTGGCCACGTGGGACCCAGTTGCTGGGAATGTGGAAATGCTGCAAAATGCAGGACCAGAGTCCCTGTTCACTGGATTCCCATCTCCCCTGGTTCCTGACCAACGCGTTCGTGCCCGCACACTTTCCTCCATGCACGGATTTGTCTGTGTGCACAGATCCCAACAGGGAGCTTGAGAGTCCATTGGTTTTAAAAGTGTGATTCAGTTTCTCATTTCCTTTTCAGACTGGAGGGTGGCCCACAGCCTTGCCAGGCCTCCCCTCCTCCAAGAGCCCGCTCACACTCTCTCTCTCTCTCTGTCTCTCTCACCCCTGCCAGTGGTCCACGCTGTGGACGGTACCGCGGAGAATGGGATCCACCCGCTGAGCTCCTCCGAAGTGGATGAGCTCATCCACAAGGCCGATGAGGTCACGCTGAGCGAGGCAGGGTCCACGCCTGGGACAGCGGAGACGCGGGGGGCGTCCAAGGAGCCCGTGCAGACCACACCCTCCAGGCGGGAGATCACGGGAGTGCAGGCGCAGCCGGGAGAGGCCACATCAGGCCCGCCGGGCATCCAGCCGGGCCAGGAGCCCCCGGTCACCATGATCTTCATGGGCTACCAGAACGTGGAGGATGAGGCCGAGAGCCAGAAGGTGCTGGGTCTGCAGGACACCATCACGGCGGAACTGGTGGTCATCGAGGACGCGGCAGAGCCCAAGGAGCCCGCCCCACCCAACGGCAGCGCGGCAGAGCCCCCCACCGCTGTGGGCTCCAGGGAAGAGAACCAGGTGGGGCCCGAGGCCCCCGCCAGCGACCCCCAGGACCTCGACACGAAGAAGCAGCGCTGTAAATGCTGCTCCATCATGTGAGCCGCCCAGCCTCCCAGCCCCCAGCCCCACCCTCCACACCACAGTCCCCCACCAGCCCGGCCCCGGTGCCTGCCCACCCTCCACCTGCAGTCACGGGCCCCAGGACATGAGGTTGTCACATGTTCCTTCCAAGTTTTCTTTCATTGGAAAGAGAGGGACAGGGGTCCCCTCCCCCTCCCCACCCCCCCGACACCCCCAAACCACTGAGCCGTGCACCTACGCCTGGTAGGAGAACGACATGGACAGACCCACTTTCCCCAAAATGAAGGGCACCCCCCACGTCACGGCAGCTCCACAGAAGCGGCTCTCAGCCACAGCGGTCCTGGCTGGGGTGACCGGGGGCCTCGACACAGCCCTGGGCCGGCCAGCCACCCTCTGGGCCTCCTGCCTGTGCCTTCCTGCCACCTCCACTGAGGTCCCTGAGGGGACATCCTGCCGGAGAGGGACCCGGAGAGCCACGGGTTCCTGGGAGCCCGCTCTGTCCCCCGCTTAGCCCCTGGGAGTGGGGCTTCCCGGCCAAAGCTCTGGCGTCTGTAGCTTGGACAGTTGGGGTGAGGCCATGCCTCTCTGGGGAGTCTCGGTCAGAGGTCAGGTTCAGGGTCTTGGAAAGGAGCAAGACCCCTCTAGGCACCCCCAGCCTGACGTGTCCCTCCCCCCATGCCCTCTTTGGGCGTGGCCAGTGGATGATGGAGCCTGGGAAGGGAGAGCCCCCCGGGACACGCCCCCCCACTCGGGAGGGGTCCGTGACCCCTGCACTGTGTCCTGCAGGTCGGGCCCTTAGGGCTGCCCCTTGCACAAGGCAGGGCCCCACGAGCCACTTCTTGTCCTGAGCTCCGACTCCCACTGGGCCCTCCTTCCTCCTGGTGCTAATTTGGGGACCCTGGGGGGGCTGCCCAGGACCTGCTTGGACCAGGTGCTGGGTCCCTCCAACCGTACCCCAGAGATCAGGCCACTGTCAGCTCCCCTGGGCTGGGCACATTTCAGGCAGCGGCGGGGCGCACGCAGCCGGGGCAGAGGGCTTCCTCAGCAGGAGACCCCGTTCGCTGCCCCGCCCGACGTGAGCCTGTCCCCCTCTCACCGGGAGGGGTGAGGGGTGAGGGGTTCCCCTCCTGGGGGCAGCCGATACCGGGATGCGCACACACATCTCCCTGATCAGCCGCACTTGCCCCCCAGAGGCACGTTTGTGCGCATGCTCGCAGACCCGCACCTGTGGGCTGTGGTTGGTGAGGCCCCATCTCGGCCCCTCCCCGAGGGCCTCCCGCCCGGTGCCAAGGGCAGGTGCAGGGCCCTCCTCTGGCCGCAGCCTGGACCCCGACGCAGCTCTGCGCCTCGGTGGCAGGGGGAGAGGCCGGTGAGGTGACCCTGGGCGGTGGCCGTGGGACCCCCTCTTCCTCCTTGAGTCCTCGAGCTGTGAGCCTCCGCTGAAGTGCTCTTGCCGCCCCTCTGCTTTTGATGTGTGTGACAAGGCCCTGACGTTCTTGACTTTCCCAGAGAAGCAAATAAACAGTGTGAACAGCCCCCGCCCTGGAGTCCTTGGCTTGCGCCTGGGTGGAAGGTGGTGGTCAGGCCCGGGGTGGGGCCCCACGAGGGCGGCCCAGTTGTAAGAGGGGGCCCCGGGAAGCTGGCTTCTCCTTCCGCCCACAGCCCCTGTGCACCCTCGGGCTCACCCCAGTGCCGGGGGGTGTCGGAACCCCCGCCCATACTTGTGCCCATCTGAGCAGCACCTGGGTAGGTAAGGCCCGGGGCTAAGGGGGCAGCTGGTGGTGGCAGGACTGGCTCTGCTAACTGACCCAGCCCACCCCGCCCAAGGCTGCCCCTCGCTGGATTCCCAGCCCCACGGATCCCCCCCAAGCTCTGCAGAGGAACCAGTCCCCGGGAAACGGGTGGGGGCACGGCGGGGGGAGGGCTTACAGTGGTTGCCACCCCCCACTTCTGTCTCACCAGCTGATCTTGGAAGTTCTCTGTCCCCTCTGCGCCTCAGTTTGCCTCTCTATACCATGGGCTTTACGAACCCTGGGAGGGAGGCCGCCCCCGTCTGGGGGCAGGACGGTTGTCCTTGTCTCCACAGTCGTCCCAACGAGCTGGGTGACCCAGTCTCTGCCCTTTTGGGGCCTCAGTTTCCCTATATAAGCAACAGGGTGGACTGCATAAGATGGGGGGACTCCAGTTCAAATCCCAGTCCTCTCATTTGGTGAAAGAAGAGACAGAGGGTCAGAGGGTCCCCAGAGCCAGCCACGAGGCAGGCAGGACAGAGCCCCAGAGCAGGGAATGAAAACCCCATTCACTGTGTGTGGGTGTCCCTCTCCTCTCGCCGCCATAGACTGACCACTGGGTCACTGGCTCCACTCCCCAGAGATGCTGGGCTCCTGCAGTCCTTGGCCAAGAATAAGGCAGGACCCATTGCCCACGTTGAGCCTTGGTGCCCCCATCCGTCAGTGGGGCCTGAGCCTTGCTCATCCGGCTAACGTTTTCAGGCCTTTTGATGTCCTCGTTCGGTCCTTTACGTAGAGGTGGCCTGGGGAATCCTCCCAGCCCTGTAATGTCCCCGTTTCAGAGGAGGGAACAGGCTCAGAGAGGCTTAGTGGGGTTTGAACCCGGGCCCGGCAGAACCCCCCGCCCCCCCAGAGACCGGCAGGCTGGGCCTGCACCAGAGAGGGGCTCTCTGGGGTAGTAGCCCTACAGGATGGGCTGAGCCAAGTGGCATGGGGGCAGGGGGCTGGCTCAGGCCCTGCTGTGTGACTGGGCAGTGACACCCCCTCTCTGGGGTGCTGGAGCCTGGCAGTAGCGAGAAAGAGGCCTCCATGAGTTCTGGCTCCGTGGGGCTGGAGGCCCTGGGGGCCGAGGGACCGTGTGCAGTGGGCATGGTGCCTGCCCTCCGCCCTGCCCGGGTATCGTCTTTCTCCCTCCTCCTCTGGACTTTGTTTCCCGAGCCCAGGTGGGGCGAGGGAGGAGGGGGTGCGCCAGCTTTCCCCAGGCGGGGCCCTGTCCCCTGGCAACCTGTGGGCAGGGCGGCGCCAGGCGTCCCTGTGCCTGTGGACAGAGTTGGAGCCAGGCTCAGCAGCTGCTGGGGGCCAGGAGCCAGCAGGTGAGGCCGGGGACGTGGTGTGGGGGGCAGGACGGACAACAAGTTCAGGCAGGCCAGGGGTCCCGTGTGGGGTGGGGTTTGTTTCCGGCATAGGGGTTCATGTGCCCCCCTGTGGGATCCTCGGGGTGCAGGGAGGGGGTCCCGCATTCCCCACCCCAGCCCCCTCCAGCTGTGCTCTCAGGGGCTGGGGGGGCCTCCCTCGCTCTGTTCCCCCGGCCGTCTCTGAGGTCTTGGGGGTCTCTACCCTTCCTGCCCCACCCCCACCTGGGGGAGCAGAGGCTCAGTCCCTGAACCTTGCTGGGGCTTCAGTCTCTGCCCTGGGCTTCAGGTCCCCAAACCCAAGAACCTTGAGCCCCGAGCCTCCGACGAGGGGGTCTGATTGAAACCCTCATTGGTTCTGAGAATTCGGGAGGCTTCTGGAGGAACGTTCATCAGTACCGGCTGGAAACTTGCTTGCGGAGGTCTTGAGTGGCATGTGACACCCCCGTGGGGTCCAGGATCGGGACACACAGGCATGTGGGTGGGGCAGTCTCAGCCTGGGAGAGGGGCCAGCTGGGAGCCTGTGGGCCTGGGGCAGAGACTCTGTTCAACAGAGTTCGGGTCTCCAGGCATTGGGACTCTGCCCAGCCAGGGTCCCAGGAGGACCGTGCCCCGAGTGACTGGGCCCCCCGAGACGCCCGTGCTGTGACCTTGCCCTGTCTGAGCCTCAGCCCTTCCAAAGGTGATGAGGAAGCAGGCGTGTGGCATGAGGGGCCATAAACCCCGGCTGGGTCTGGTATCGGTATGATGTGGGGTGGGGCCGGGAAGGAGCAATGGGGTGGGGAGCTTCCTGGAAGAGGAGACTGACTGGGAGCCAAGGCTCAGGCTTCAGGACCTCGGGTGAGCCCCCCTTCCCCTCCCTGGGCCTCAGTTCTCTCTGCTCCTGCCACAGGGTCCTGGGAGGAGCAACCACAATGCAGCCCTGGGAAGACCGTGCAGGAGGCTTTGTGACTCTTGTTACCACTCACTTGTGCGGAGTCTCTGGGGTCCTCCCTGGGGCTTCACCCCACCCAGGCTTCCTTGCTCCTCCTCGGGCCCCGTGTGGGTGCAGCGTCCTCCCAGCTCGCACACGGGGAGACTGAAGTGTTGCAAGAGGGGGTGCCTGCCTGAGATCAGTGGTGGATCCAGGGTTTAAATAATAATAAATCAGCAACCACCGTTGAAGCATTTAGCTGGCACCTACTGTATACCGGGTATGGGGCACGACTGCTCAGCAGGCTCTCAGCGTGGAGCCAAGTGCCGTGGTGGACTCTACCTACGGTCCAGGTGTGGACACTGAGGCCGGAGGGGAGCAGAGGGTTTCCCGAGGACACGAGCTGGTGGGGCCCTGGGGCCTTGAGCCCGAGCCCCAGCCCGAGCCCTGCTCCACCGGCCTCAGTGAATCACCCCGCAGGAATGGCCCGGCCAGAAGAGGAAGCAGTGTCCCCACGGCAGCCCCCTGCGCCCCACCCGACTGTGAGACCGACACCCTCCAGGCAGGTGGTTCTTTTTCCCGGAGTTGATGCCCCGTGTGGCTTATAGATCCTGTGGGGTGAACGTCCACTTACTCAGCAAACTCCTGTGTCACCTCCTCCCATGCCTGCCCTCCCCGGGATCTCCAGGGCCTGGGCACAGACCTGCCCAGCCCTGAGGGTCAGCACTGGGCTCGGGGCTGGAGCGGGGAAGGCTCGTCTGGGCCACCAGAGGACAGGGACCCGGGCTGATGGCCTCCAGTGGGAGAAGACAAGTCTCAAATACGCTTACCCCCTTTCAGAGCTGTACCCACCCCTGTGAGTTTCCGGGAGAACACCCCCATGGGGGCTGTGTGGTCACGGGGACAGGGGCTCAGTCCCCACGCCCGGCGTTTATTACCCAGGCTTCCTTTTTTTTAACTACTGTTTTTCCGAGTATGGTTTCAATATCTGATACATACAAAAGCCGACGTGATAGGTGCTAGTCATAACATCGTTCCCAGGATGGATTTCACGGTGCTCGATGCCACTTCTCCAGCTCAAGGGGGGCTGTGTTTTCCTTTTTAGAGCTACAGCCTTTACAAGCAAGTTGGCTGGAAGACAGCCGATGCACACAGTAACATGACGGAACCGGGGATGGGCACAGGGGCAAGGGCTGCTTGGAGAGCTGAGAACGGCCAGTCTTCCTCCCTCAGCTGTGGAAAGGGGACGCCTAACTTGGGTGCTGGGCCCGGCAGCAGATGAGGCTCAGACAACAGGCTCCAAGGGCAGGGGCAATCTTGGGGGGCTCCCTGGAGGAGGTGTCGTGTGGGCTGCAGATAAGAAGGCTGTAGAGGAGCAGAAATGAAGGTCCTCCAGGTAGAGGGAGTTGTGGGAGGAGGAGGAGGGCCAGGTTTGGGGTAGGGATGCCTGTGAAGTTTGGGGGTTTGTGCGGAGGCCAGATGAAGGCCTTGAGAGTTGCAGGCGAGGCCAGGAACCAGGGGGCTACGAGAGCAGGTGCGTGACCTTGGGGGATGGGGCTCCTGGAGCCGTACTCAGCAGAACTCCAATGCTCGAAGGGGTGCCAGCCTCCCTCTCTCCAGGGCACTGGGTCGGGGTGTGGCCCAGAGGCTCCATGGCCTTCCTGGCCCCGCAGGACAAGGTCCAAGGTGTTCCCTAGCCCGTCCTAGCTTTATGGCACGGAGGGGGCGGACTGACTGGGATGGGACAGTGTCCCTCTAAGCAGGTTAGGGGAGGGAACCAGGAGCTGGAGTCCCCGCCACCCGACATCAACTGAGTCTCAGTTTCCCCACATGACATCTCTTAGTGAGGGTCAGGCCCGCTGATGAAGGAAATCACAGCAGGAAAGAACCTCAGAGTGCGCCCTGGAAGAGAGGCGGATGCGCGCGTTCGCGGGGGTCCGGGGAGGCGGTCTGGGGATGGCTTTGGGTCTGGCCGTGGCGAGCTGGGCCGGCGGGGGCAGCAGCAGGAGTGGGGCACCTGCAAACGTCAGGCACTCAGGGGGCAGACTGGCGAGTCAGTACAGGGATGGGATCCAGGTGTGGCTGGATCCAGGAGCTCAAACAAGCCCAGCAGGGAGAGGGTCCGCTTTTCCGCGCTAATTGCCAAGTCTCCGATCAGGCTTCTAGGTCCTCGGCAGGTTGGGTCACATGTCCATCCCTGAGCCAATCACAGAGGCCAGAGGGTAGAGTGCTCTGATTGGCAGGGCCGGGTCATTTACCCATCCCTGAGCCAATCACAGAGGCCCTTTGGCCAGGACTTTGCCCTTGACTGGACTGGAAATTGTGCCGCTCCCCAAGACAGGTGCTGTGTTCTGCTCTCTGACCAGTTGGCCCTTGTTCCCTTTTCCTTCCTCAGCGAGCCCGGAATACGTCCGCCCCAGGGAGCCGTGGGGAGCTGAGACCCCAGGACATGGACCGAGTGACCAGATACCCCATCTTCAGCATCCCTCACTCGCCTCGCCTGGCTGGCCTGGACCCCGATGGGGACACCAGCTACACGTTTGAGGTGGTGGATGTGGGGCCGGCAGCCAGGGGCTGGGGCCAGGACAAGCCACAGGCGTGGCCGGCTTACAGAGAAGCCCAGCTAAATGCGTCCAGGACTGGGGCGTCCTACAGCCAACGTGCCTTCCCGGGCCGGTCACCCCCGTGGATGCTCTCCTTCCGGGAGGGTGACAAGGATGAGGAAGTGAAGGCCTGCCGCCTGGACGCCGGGGACACCCAGCCTCGGCGGCCACGGGACCTGGAGAAGGAGCGCTGGGCGGTCATCCAGCACCAGGCCCTCAGGAAGAACAGCACGGTGGCCACGCTCCACGGCACCCCTGGCCACCTGGACCCCAGGAGCCCCGGCCAACCTCAGCCTGGGCCCCTGGAGGAGAGCGCCGTGGACAGGGAGCAGATCGACTTCCTGGCAGCGAAGCAGCAGTTCCTGAGTCTGGAGCAGGCCAATGCAGGGGGCCCTCTGCACCCTCCGGCTCAGGTGGCCCCTGCCCGTGCCCCACCGGGGCTCAGTCAGGCCCCCAAGGCCTCAAGTGGGCTGCTCTTGGCCAATGGGTGTGATGTCCCGCTGAAGCCCCAGGAGAGGGAGGTGCTCCTTCGAGAGAAGAGGGTCTGTGGCCTTCCGGCTGTATCTGGCGCCCAGGCTGCGGATGACCCCGGCTCCCGTTCCCAAGTGGGGTCCCTGGAGCTCCCTAAGGAGACCCCCATCGAGCGGGAGATCCGGCTGGCCCAGGAGCGGGAAGCGGACCTGCGAGAGCAGAGGGGGCTACGGCGGGAGAACAGCCAGCAGGAGCTGGTGGAGATACCCAGCAGGCCCCTGCTGACCAAGGTGAGCCTGACAGCGGCCCCATGGCGGGACCGAGGGCGCCCGTCACTCTACATGCAGCGGGACGTGGCGCAGGAGACGCAGCGCGAGGAGGACCACCGGTGGCGGGAGGGCCTGCAGGCCACGCCCAACAGGCTCTCCTGGGCTCCCCAGTCTGGGCTCAGGAGAGCCTTTAGCTCAGACTCCATCCTGGACCTGGCCTCAGACAGCAGCGCGGCTGACCCTGCCCCAGAGGTGAGGAAGGTGGGCCGCCTCCCGGCGGATGCCTACCAGCCGTACCTGCGTCCTGGGAGCCCCCGGCTGGACTTCGAAGCCTTCCACACGCATGGCAAGCTCCGTGGTCTCTCTACGGATGAGGCCAAGGCTGCGGGCTCTCCAAGGGCCACAGGGTCTCTGAGGCATCTCTTGGAATCCTCTGGAAACCCCCCAGGCATGAAGCCGGAGTGCCCCAAGCCGCCCCAGGGGCGCCCACAAGCCCACGGAGGTGTCATTCAGTGGGAGTATTTCCACCTGAGCCCCTTGCGGTTCAGGGTCCCAGATGTGCCCCCGCGGGCCGAGGGCCCCCGCGCCCGAGGCTGGGAGGTGGGGGGGACCCTGGCATCGAGGCTGCAAAGGTCCCAGTCGTCAGAGCTGCTGGAGAGGGAGGTGGAGAGCGTCCTGCAGCGCGAGCAGGAGGTGGCCGAGGAGCGGCGGAATGCACTGTTCCCTGAGGTTTTCTCCCCACCACCTACGGAGGACAATGACGGCAGTGACCAGGACTCCAGGGGCTCCTCCGCAGCCTCGGGTGAGGATGGGCCGGGCAGTGGCGGCTTTGCTCTGGGCTCAGAGGCTGGAGCAGGGTGGGGGGGTCAGGAGCGGCTGAGCATGGGGAGCGTCTGGGGGACCCCGTCCACCTCCCCGGTCGACTCTGTGCACCCGTCTGAGCTCACGCCCTAGATCCTGGACCGAGGTGTCAACTGTGCCTTGGGCTTTTGCTTTATCAGTGTGGATGCTCGGTCTCTAGGGGCACACGGCTCAGATGCTGTGTCCTCTCTTGGCCCGAGACTCTGAGTCTCCCAGGCGTTCTGCCTTCCCGGGACCCAGGGACCCTCCCTGATGCTCCTTCCGCCCCCACAGGCATCGTGGGCAGCTACTCGGTGACCGAGTCCCACTTCTTCAGCCCCATCCACCTGCACTCAGGCCTGGTGTGGACGGCGGAGGCCCCTGCCGAGGCTGCTCCTGAGCGGAGGAAAAAGAGGGAGCAGCAGGTGAGTCTCGAGCCCGGCCCGGCCCCCACTCCCCGAGGCCTGGCTGCAGTCTGGCACCCCCTGTGGGGACACAGGACAGTTGAGGGAGACTCAGGCGTGACCTGGGTTGACGCCTGCCTCCCTCATGGCCCTGTGGGAGACTGTGCCTGCCCCTGCACCGAGTGCAGAGTGGGTACACTGGCTGTCTCTTCACGCCCGGCCTTCTGCTGCAGAGGCCACCTACGCGGGGCCCCCACTTGTGGTCGTCCCCCTGCATCAGTCTGCAGGAGGATGGTGGCCATGTGGCAGCGGTGTCCTTACCCTTCCACTAAGTGCGTGGCCCTCCGACGCACCGGGCCTGTGGGCCTTAGAGCCGTGTCCTGTCACACCAGCCCAGGGGCAGGTGGCTCGTGATTTCCCACGCAGGGACCTGAGCCCAGACCCGGCTGCACAGCCCACATCTCCCCCTGGGGCGGGGTCTCCGCAGCCGCGGACGATAAGGACAGTAACAGCGGCTCTAGCCTCCCGCCTGCCGCTCGGGGCACGGGACGTCGGCACACCCTCGCCCCTCTCTGACCCTTGGGCTCCCCCGCTGTAAAGTGCGCGGGACACTAGGAACGCCCCCTTGAGCCTTGGCGCGCGGCCTGTGTGGGAGAGCTCAGCAAACACTGACTGTCTTTATTAGAAGGCGATGTTTGGGAACGGGGCTTCAGGCCATCCCTGAGGGGAGTCCCTGGGGGGGGTGCACGGTGCATGGCGTTGAGTTTGGGCTGATGGCGGGGCACTCGGGGGGCCCGTGCTGGCCCAGTGGGCTCTGGGGCGTGGCGCAGGCACAGGGCGGGGGCTGACGCGTGTCCTCTCCCTGCAGTATGCCACCATCAAGTCCTTAGACCACATCGACTCAGAGGTGAGTGTGCCGCTGGGGACGGGGCCCCCGCCTTCCCACCCCGCCTGTGCCCTCTGCCCAGGGCGTGGAGCACCCCCCAGCCCGTCTTCTGCGTGCGGGCACTTGGATCCTCCGTGGCTGCCTGGGGTGGGTTTCGCTGGGACCTGCCCGTGGGTACAGAATGTGAGCGAGCTCTGCGTGCCATCTCTTTACCAGGTAGCAAAGGTTTGGGGCAGATCGGGCTCCCCAGAGCGCCCGTGCCTCAGTTTCCCTTCCGCACACAGGGATAGGCATTTTCTCTGGGAGAGGAACTCATCTGAGACGGCCACGTCAGTGGATTTGTGGAATACATTTCTGAGCTGGGTCCAAAGTGCCAGACCCCAGCACTTGACCTGCTGTGGGTCTCGGTGTGAGTTGGCATGTTCCTGGGTGCTATTCCCAGAGGTAGAAGGTCTGAAATAGAGGAGGGGAGCTGGCCTGCGCTTTGCTTCCTGCTCTAGATGCCTCCTACAGGCTGGCAGTGGGGAAGTTGCCTGGGGGGTCGGGATCCCGATGGGGACTCGGTGCCTCCTCTTACAGGTCCTGGAAGCCACGCGAGTGACCCACCACAAGAATGCCATGGCGAGGCGCTGGGAAGCTGGTATCTACACCAGTGAGAGCCAGGACTGAGCCAGGGGACGGGGCACCCTTGCCCCCTCCCTGCCTGGTCGGAGCTGCTGAGACTGTCCGCAGGCCCCCCTGCCCCTCAGGGCGCAGGTCCCTGTTGAAACGCAGCACCGGACAACCACGGATCACGTGCCACCAATCCCAAAGGTGGACGCGTTTTCAGACGGGAGAGTTTTCTTTGCTGTTCTTATCTTCCTGGGGAAATTGTTCTGCTTTCTGTCTAAAGCTCGGGATGAATCGGGCCTCTGTCGACTCAACTCTGCTTCTGAGGCTTTGCCGAACACCCTCGGGCCCAGAAAGGGGGGAGACCGGCTCCCCCGGCCGCAGATGTGACTGTGCCTGCTAGTCCGAGGGTGGAGGGGCTGCTTAGGACAGAGGCTCGGTCCTGGCCCGTGAGGAGCCTCAGGTCTGAGGGGGAGCACCCAGTTTCAGGGTCTCTGTGCCACCCACCCCGGAGCCCCACCCCTGTGGCACGCCCGGCAAATCCCGGGCATCTGGGGCCCCGTGGGGACGGCCCCGCACCTGGTGGCGAAACGGCCCGATTTAGGGGCTGAAAGGGGCCGTCTGCTCCAGCCCCAAACTCCCCAACTGTGCCCACCGTGAAATAACGCTGGAAGGGGCGGCCGGCCTGTCCCGGCCGCCAGGTCCACCCCAGCCGCCTCGCTTGTCGAGGGGCTGAGGCCACCGGGCCCCTGCACCGCCCGCCCCGCGGCATCAGCCACGGCAATCACGCGCCGCACGCGTGACCCTCCTGGTGGGGGGGGGGGGGCGTCACTTCGGTTCTGTGTGTGTGCCGGGCTCACTCCTGGGGGACGTGTCATTCTGGGCAAGGCTGTGGGCGCTGGATCCCAACCCTAACCATGCTACCGCCCTCTGTGTAGCCTCGGGGCTCCCCAGAGCGCCCGTGCCTCGGTTTCCCCTCCACACACAGGGACAGCGCTGGGACCCACCTCCTGCGGGTGAGACGCGCTCTAACTCGGCGCCTCAGCCTCCAGGCCCTCCCGCCACCCCTCTCCGCAGCTGCTGCAGGGAAAACCGAGGCAGCTATTTCAAGAAACCCGTCCTGGAGACTGCCCACGCGGGCTGGGGGGCAGGCAAGGGCCTGAAATAGCTGGGCGGGGGCAGGACTGCGGGGGGGCGGCCCTGAGGGCAGGGCTGGTGCAGGGGGGCGGCCTCAGGGCAAGACAGGCCGAGGGAGGAGGCAGGGCCCCAGTCTGAGCGGGGAGGCAAGGTCTGTGTCCACAGGGAAGCCCCAGTCTGAGGGGGGAGGCAAGGTCTGTGTCCATAGGGAAGCCCCAGTCTGAGGGGGGAGGCAAGGTCTGTGTCCACGGGGAAGCCCCAGTCTGAGGGGGGAGGCAAGGTCTGTGTCCATGGGGAAGCCCCAGTCTGAGGGGGGAGGCAAGGTCTGTGTCCACAGGGAAGCCCCAGTCTGAGGGGGGAGGCAAGGTCTGTGTCCATAGGGAAGCCCCAGTCTGAGGGGGGAGGCAAGGTCTCTGTCCACGGGGAAGCCCCAGTCTGAGGGGGTAGGCAAGGTCTGTGTCCATGGGGAAGCCCCAGTCTGAGGGGGGAGGCAAGGTCTGTGTCTGCGGGGAAGCCCCAGTGTGAGGGGGGGAGGCAAGGTCTGTGTCCACGGGGAAGCCCCAGTGTGAGGGGGGGAGGCAAGGTCTCTGTCCACGGGGAAGCCCCAGTCTGAGGGGGTAGGCAAGGTCTGTGTCCGTGGGGAAGCTCCAGTCTGAGGGGGGAGGCAAGGTCTGTGTCTGCAGGGAAGCCCCAGTCTGAGGGGGTAGGCAAGGTCTGTGTCCGTGGGGAAGCTCCAGTCTGAGGGGGGAGGCAAGGTCTGTGTCCACGGGGAAGCCCCAGTCTGAGGGGGGAGGCACAGTCTGTGTCCGCAGGGAAGCTCCAGTCTGAGGGGGGAGGCAAGGTCTGTCCGCAGGGAAGCCCCAGTCTGAGGAGGGAGGCAAGGTCTGTCCGCAGGGAAGCCCCAGTCTGAGGGGGGAGGCAAGGTCTGTGTCCGCAGGGAAGCTCCAGTCTGAGGAGGGAGGCAAGGTCTGTCTGCAGGGAAGCCCCAGTCTGAGGGGGGAGGCAAGGTCTGTGTCCACATGGAAGCCCCAGTCTGAGGGGGGAGGCAAGGTCTGTGTCATCAGGGAAGCCCCAGTGTGAGTGGGGAGGCAAGGTCTGTGTCCGCGGGGAAGCCCCAGTCTGAGGGGAGAGGCAAGGTCTGTGTCTGCGGGGAAGCCCCAGTCTGAGGGGGGAGGCAAGGTCTGTGTCCGCAGGGAAGCCCCAGTCTGAGGGGGGGAGGCAAGGTCTCTGTCCACGGGGAAGCCCCAGTCTGAGGCGGGGAGGCAAGGTCTGTGTCTGCGGGGAAGCCCCAGTCTGAGGCGGGGAGGCAAGGACAGGAAACCCCAGTGTGAGGGGGGAGGCAAGGTCTGTGTCCGTGGGGAAGCCCCAGTGTGAGGGGGGAGGCAAGGTCTGTGTCCGCGGGGAAGCCCCAGTCTGAGTCGGGGAGGCAAGGTCTGTGTCTGCAGGGAAGCCCCAGTCTGAGGGGGTAGGCAAGGTCTGTGTCCGCAGGGAAGCCCCAGTCTGAGGGGGTAGGCAAGGTCTGTGTCTGTGGGGAAGCCCCAGTCTGAGGGGGTAGGCAAGGTCTGTGTCCGCGGGGAAGCTCCAGTCTGAGGGGGGAGGCAAGGTCTGTGTCTGCGGGGAAGCCCCAGTCTGAAGGGGGAGGCAAGGTCTGTGTCCATAGGGAAGCCCCAGTCTGAGGGGGGAGGCAAGGTCTGTGTCCATGGGGAAGCTCCAGTCTGAGGGGGGAGGCAAGGTCTCTGCCCCAGTCTGAGGGGGTAGGCAAGGTCTGTGTCCGCAGGGAAGCCCCAGTCTGAGGGGAGGAGGCAAGGACAGGAAACCCTAGTCTGAGAGGGGAGGCAAGGTCTGTGTCCGTGGGGAAGCCCCAGTCTGACGGGGGGAGGCAAGGACAGGAAACCCCAGTGTGAGGGGGGAGGCAAGGTCTGTGTCCGCAGGGAAGCCCCAGTGAGGGGGGGAGGCAAGGTCTCTGTCCACGGGGAAGCCCCAGTCTGAGTCGGGGAGGCAAGGTCTGTGTCCGCAGGGAAGCCCCGGTCTGAGGGGGAGGCAAGGTCTGTGTCTGCGGGGAAGCCCCAGTCTGAGGGGGGAGGCAAGGTCTGTGTCCGCGGCGAAGCCCCAGTCTGAGGGGGGAGGCAAGGTCTGTGTCCGCAGGGAGAGCTTGGGCCTTGCGGAGTGCCCCTCACTGGCCAAATTCAGCTTTCTCTGGGATTCCTACAATTCTGTCCTGGTTCCAAGAACCAGATTTCCGCCCCCCCACCCTCGGGAAGGCTGTTTCAGGGCCTCAAACACAGCCCTGCGATGAATCTCATGGGCTCCCCCACCATCTCCTGCCATGTCAGCCCACTGGTGCCAATAAGGCCTGTCCATCCGTCCCGCAGCCACTGTGACAGACCACCGCTCACTGACTCTCTGACAATCTGGGCTTGGAAGTCCTAAAACCCCAGAGTGGGCAGGGCTGGCCCCCCCCCGGGGTCCCCAGGGAGACCCGGCTCCAGCCTCTTCCTGGCCCGTGGCCCCCCTCCATCCTCACCACCAGCAGCACAAGGTCTGCCCATCTCTGGGACTCCCACCCTCTGCCTCCCTCTCGTGAGGATGCCAGGCCCCCAAGGGAACCCAGGGTCACCCCCACCTCGGGGGCCATGAGGCCGCGTGAGGGAACACATCCCAGGACCAGGATGGGGACGTCTTTGGGGCCATTACTGTGCCCACCACAGTCTCCTTGTCCCCCTCTTCAGTTAACCTTCCCTTGCCTCTGCTCAGGGCTGCCTGGGACTGAGGTCATGTACAAGGCACCCAGCTGAGGTGCAAAAGTCGGGGCTCCCCTGTGGCCCCTTCTGTCATCCCCCGGCCCCACTGCACTCTTTACACACAGGCCGTGACCCCAACGGGCACGTTCATGAGTCATCTAGGTTGGAAGACATCTCCCCCGTTGTCCCAGCATTGAGACCGTCCCATGGTGGGACCAGCTCTTGTGGACAGTAGACTGTCCTTGGAGCCCAGAATGCCCCCAGCACCGTGGCCTGCAAAGGTTCCCCCAAATACAGAGCGACTGAAGGGCAGGGATGTCCTCCCCCAACGTTGTCTGTCTCGGTCTCCCCACATACTCTTTTCTGTCCTTGAGCCCTGCTCTGTTCGGCAGGTGACGTAGCAGTCCGCAGAACCGGGAGGCAGCTTCCCCAGCTTGAGTCTGAAAGGGGGCCTTATAGTCTGGCCCCGCTGCCTGGCGGGGAAGGGGCCGGCAGGTCACATCCACAGGGCCGCCCCACCCTGTCATCCAGACCGGGGCCTGGCCAGCCCCCCTGCAACCTGCCCAGCTCCATCGTGTGCCCGGTCTGTCCACAGAGGGGCTCAGTCGGGGGCATGGGAGACACTGGGGCAGAGGGGCCGAAGCCCCGGCCAAGCCATCTGAGGCGCTGCATCAGTTCTAGCCGCTGGGGTGCCTGCCAGCTGCCCGACCCTGGGGGGTGCCTGAGCAGGACGACACAGCCGGCTCCCCCAGCCAGGAGCCAGGGACAGTGTTTCCTGCACCCCGGGGCCACCAGGTGGAGGGAAGACATGCAAGTGCCATGGGCGCATGATGGCCACGTCCCCTCCCACCTGCCAGGGTGACCAGGGCCACCTGTGGGGGTCCCCGAATGTGGACGGGGGAGCAGACAGACCTGTCGCAGGGGCACAAGGCCGTCCTTTGTGTGTCCAGCCTGACTGACTGACCTTTACACGACCAACAAATTCCTCAAAAAATTAAACATAGAACAACCATGTGACCCAGTGAATCCATGTCTGGGTCTGTCCCAGAGAGAGAACCGGAATCAGGGACTCGGAGAGATACTTGCACCCCCGTGCTCACAGCAGCCTAAAGAGAGAAGCACCCCAGTGTCCACCCACAAGATGAGGGGTACAAACGATGCGGTCTGTCCCCACGCGGGAACACGCTCCAGCCTCAGGAAGGAAGGGACCCTGACACAGAGGGACCCCAAGGACACCAGGCTCAGCGAGAGGAGCCAGACCCAGAAGGACACATCCCGCAGGACCCCACTCCCAGGAGGTCCCCGGAGGAGTCCCGTCCACAGAGACAGAGGAGAGGGTGGGAGCCGGGGCTGGGGCAGGGGGTGGGGAGTCTGTGCTTCTTGGGGACAGAGTCTCCGTGTGGGGAGATGGAACGTTCTGGAGACGGAGGGTGGGGGTGGGGAGTCCGTGCTTCACGGGGACAGAGTCTCCGTGTGGGGAGATGGAACGTTCTGGAGACGGAGGGTGGGGGCGGTCGCAGGACGGTGTGAGTGGGCTTCATGCCGCTGAGCTGTGTGCTTAGAGACGGTTATGATGGTAAATTTTGTATTATGTGTGTTTTACCAAGATTTTTAAAAACCGAAAGAAAAGTATTCACTCTCTTGAAAGCATACCAAGGCCCTTGGGAACCACCCAGAGGAGCCTATGATTTGCCAGCTTAAAAAAAATTAGAAGTTCCTTAAAACGTGCAGTGTCCTCTGAGATTCTTGATCTCGCAGGTAGGGGTGAGGCCAGCAGCCTGACGGGTGGGCTGTGCCCTCAGGACCGGGCGGAAGTCCTGTCCTCCTGCCAGGCCTCCACCTCCCAAAAGGTCCGCGCTGAGGAGTCTTAGGAGGATCTCGGAGGACGGAGGGCTGGGAAGAGGAGCGACCTCAGACTAGGCTGGGCGGGGGGGGGGGGAGACGGGAGCGGGGCTCACCCCGGTGCGCGCACGTGCACCTCGGAGACCCCGCGTGCGGGTCCCTGGAGCCCCGCGTTCTTCTGCGCAAGCGGTCGGACGTTCCCTCCGTGTATCTCGGCCCAGGAAGGGACTCTCCCGAGTCCGTGCACCGCGCACTGGGTCCCACTGGGCTCCCCGTGCAGCCGTGGCCAGTCCTGGGGGCGGGCGCCCCCCACACATGCGGAGGTGGGGCTGCTGTTGGCTGGGGTAAGCTAAAATTCAGGCTACTCAGTTAAATTTGAATTTCAGGCCAACAATGACTGACTTCTTTAAGTACGCCCCATGCAATATTCGGGGCCTACTTAGCTTT